AAAGCAAGAAATCACCCCTCAGGAGGGATGGCCATGCCCCAGTCTCTTCCCTTCCATTCTCCTCTCAGAATGGGCATGCACACGTATGTGCCCAGAGTGAGTTTTAAGCCACCAGGTCCAGGACTTGAACTGCACTTGACTACAGGGGAGTCCAGCAATGTAACCATTATGCCATCTGTTGGTCCTGGCCCTTTTCAAAATAAGATTATACCAGCTAATTCAACTTAAATAGTCATGCCCCAAATCTGAGTTTCCTCTGTTTTGGATAATGCTGGACACACTAAGATATTTTGACTGTCAATCTCTCTTTTTTTGTATCATCTCCAAAAATTGCTTTCCTTCTGCTGGCTCTAGACATTACAATAGGCCCTCCCCACTCTGTATTATTTCACTCAATTATCTTCATGTTTGCATTTCCCAGGTTTATAGATTATTTTACATTGATTAAATTTCATGTTGACTGTTTCCTGGCAGTCTCTAAAGTGTACTTCAAAGTCATCAGTAACTTATCCACGATCATGCCATAGCCTGAAATCTTTTGGAAAGATTCCCTGTAGATGGTTGATCCCACCCATGGTAGAGGGATTCCTGTACATTGTAAACACAGAGCCCTTTCCAGATTTGCCTGTTCTGTCTTCTTCCTGATCACTTGTTTCCATCATCCTTTGTCCTAAACTTGCCTTTACAGTTACAACTCCTGTACACCTTTTGCAGGAATTAACATATAACAGTGTTGCATTGCTTAACAACTTAGGACATAAGGAACTATTCTTTTACTAATAGTTTAAAAATGTTATGCTTGGTATTTTCAAAGAAAAGTTTATGTAGTCAAGATAAAACTACTATTTTATCTTAATTTTATTGTTTACAATTATTTTAAAATTTTTTTGGAGAGGTTTTTGCTATAGGGCACATGTGCTCGCCAGACAGAGAGAGACAGAGAGATAGAAAGCAAGAAATCACCCCCCGGGGGGATGGCCACACCACAATCCCTTCTTCTCCATTCTCCTCTTGGGATCTTGGGCACGCACGCACACACGCCCAGCGTGAGTTTAAGCCACTGGGTCTGGGACTCGAACCGCGGTCGACTACGTGGGAGTCCAGCGACATAGCAATTATGCTAACTGCTGGTCCCTTAAATTTTAATCCATAAAGGATCACATTTGGAGGACATTCTTCTTAGAGCTTAGAGCCTTTAAAGATATTAATCTGCTCTTGATCACAGTGTCCAAAAATGATATATCTGTTAATGGTAAGTGAGATTGGTGCATGCAGAATCATTTGAGATCAATTATTTTCAGTACATGAAAGCAGAACCAGAGTTCATTGAAGTAGCCTCTCTTAAAGATAACATGGTATGATGAAGCTAGATTTGACTTTCAATTCCTGACTTGGAAAAGCCTAACATTTCTAAGTCTCAGTTTATTCATCTATAACTTAGTATACTGGTTCCTCATGAATTAAATGACCAAATAGTAGTCTATATGGACAAGCAGA